CGGCCTTCCTGCTCTGCCCGGGGCACAAGGCGCCTACTGTTTACAGTCTGGGCTGCCAGGTTTCCACAGGAAGGGCTGAGCAGCCAGGGGAGCCTCGTGTGTACATATCTGGAAGGGGACTTTTGGGTATGGGGCTTATCAAAGTTTACATTTTCATTTTCCTTTATCAGGGATTTCTGGGGTCTGGGAGGGGCGGGAGAAGGCCTGGGAGCATTCTTTTTCTGTGAGAGGGTACGTTTGGTAAATTATTCTTCAAACAAGAGACATGGAAGATGACTCTGGGGCATTGTGGCACTGGAGTTTTCTGAACCCAGCTGGAGATGGGGGTGGGATGCTGAACTGGGCTGGAAACTGTGTGCTCAGGAAGGGGGTGGGGAGGTGAAGCCACTGTGTTGAGGAGACAGCCCTCTTCTCCCTCTACTGGGGGTCACCTTGGATTCAGCCAGGCTGGCACTGCTGGAACCCTTTTGGATGAAACTGCCCCCACTGGGTTTTCTCCACAACTCAACAGGAATACACTCCATTTCCCATGTCTGCTGTGAACCCCGGACCTTCCCTGGACCAGGATGGCCCTTGATTTCAGAAAGCCAGTGTCCTTGCCGTCTCCCTTCCAGGGATTCCTGACCCCATCCCTGTCCCCGGGCTTGGCTTTGGATGGGCGCCATCAGTCAGGACCTCCTGAACTGTGAGGCCTGGTCAGTGTTCCAATTCCCAGAATACCCAGGGAAAGCCTGGGTGGGAGGGGCCAGGCCTCAGGAGGGAGAGGAGGACCCGGTCACCCTCAGCCTGGGGAACTGAATAGTTAACACTGTATTGTCACAGTGGGCTGGCACTTTGCAGATATACTAACTAGTGCGGATTGTATATTGATAGTATATATAAATATATTGTTTTGTTTATGTCTCGGAGATTAAAAAAGGCTACAAACTTGAGAATATATATTTGGAATACAATGTGAGACCATTTTCTGTACGTTGTGTTAAAAAAAAAAAAGAGCCTATAGTCCATGTGCGCCTCGTGGGTCACAGTTCTAGTACCTATGGCAGTTGTCTGTGTGTTACTTTCCTCTCCTACCTTGCTGCATCTCCAGGTTCTGTTCTGGGATCTGGAGATGATCTCTGAGTGTAAAGCTGTGCTGTTGTGCAGGGTGTCAGTTCTGGAGTGACTGGATGTATTTGCATCAATAAAAGACCATGTTGCTCTTCTCCTCTGCCTGCTTGGTGCTGGTGATCCTTTATTTCTCCCCTTGGGATAGGGCTAAGACTTGAAGTCAGGGCCTGGGTGCTGTCATTGAGCTTTTTCTAGTGAAAGCTGGTGCTCTACCTGTTGAGCCACAGATCCACTTCCAGGTTTTTCGCTGGTTAATTGACTTTCTTGCCCTGGGTTGGCTTTGAATCTTGGTTCTTAAATCTCAGCCTCCTGAGTATCTAGGGTTACAGGAATGAGCCAATGCCACTTGGTAACACTGGGGACTGAATCCAGAGCCTCATATGTCACCCAAGTTACTCAAAGCTGATGCTCTACCACTTGAGCTATTCTTCTAGTCGCCCCTGTCCCCCACCTTGTTTTGGAGACAGGATATTGCTAATTTTGTCCAGGCTAGCCTTAAATTCATGATTCTCCTGAGTAGCTGTAATTACAGGTGTGAGCCACATGCCTAGCACTTCCTTCATGTCTACGGTGTCTTGACATTCCCATGTGACCACCTCTGCCCCAAAGAAAGCTGTCAGCTATGACAGAATGTTCTGCAGCAGGGCTGGCCCAGCACATTTGCTGTAACCACGTCTGGGTACTGAGTGCTCAAATGGTGGCTGTGTGCCAAGAAGCAGAATGTCTAGCTGGGTGCAGTCAGCTGTGGCCATGGACAGGGCTGGACTGTGGGCTGGTTCCTTGCTGCTCTGGCTCCCAGGGAGATTGGGGTGACTGGACTGACAAGTGCTGAGATTGTCTATGGAGCACACCGAGTCACCTGTGTGGATGCCCTAGCTGAGGGTAAGTAAATGCTTGTTTTATGTTGGTGCCAGTACTGGGGCTTGAACCCAGGGCCTTGCACTCTCACTTGGCTTTTTTGCTCAATGCTGGCACACTACTACATAAGCTTCAGTTCCACTGTGGCTTTTTTTGCTGGCTAACTGGAGATAAGAGTCTCACAGGCTTTTCTGCCTGAGCTGGCTTTGAACTGCGACCCTTAGGTCTCAGCTTCCTAAATAGGATTACAGGTATTCTACCTGTGCCTGGCTATTTACCTCTTCTAAGCCTCAGATTTCTAAGACTGAAATGGGAATCATACTCTTCTCTACCTGAGGAACAGGTGATGGTGGAGTGGCAGAGGTGCAGCTCCTGGGACATAGGATGTCCTTCTCACAGAACACCTGGAGTCCTGTCAGCATGGACCCACTTCCCTGTGAATTCCACAGGCACAGAAATGGTTAAAGAAAACACAATACTGCCAAGAATGCAGGGTCATCTCCACCCAGTGCCGAAAAGCACCTTGGAAAGTGATTTGAACATGTACATGTACATGTATTGTAACTCCTACAGAAATTCTGGCCTGCTTCTAAAAGAGACATGTATAGTGACATTCATGAAGTCTCCCTGAAATAGCAAAAGTCAACAGTAAAACAATATAAAACTATAAGCAACCCAAATGGCTACCAACAATGGGTTTAAAAAAACTGGAAACAACACAAATATTTATCAGTGACACAGAAGAAATGTTGTGCATTCATACACTGGAATACTATTTAGTCATAAAAAGGAATCAACTTTGAGATCAACATGCATGAACTGCAAAGATCATGCCCAGTGAGAGTTAAGAGACTGATGAAATATATAAATTCAGGAACAGGCAAAATAAACAGTATATTGGGTAGAGATACATAGGACAAGCGAGCCAAGTGAAAAATTCTCATGAAAATCAGATGGTAACTTATAGAGTGAGAACACAGGACCAGCAACTGGCAAGGATCTTACGCTGGGTGCTAGCACACTGCTGTGGATTCTTCTTCAAAGTTCACAATTAAAATAGCATATACTTGGTTTGTACTGATACTTCACAATAGGAAGAAATTAATTTACATGTTAATTTCACTTTTGGTAATAAAATACTTTATTGGTAACATTTAATGTCAAAAACATATTTCCATCACTTAGCTTCCATTTGTAAATTAAGAGCTAGGTAAAGGACTGGTTCACACCTGTAAATTCTAGTTACTCAGGAGGCCAAGATCTAAAGATCCCATCTTGGAGCCAGCCTGGGCAGGAAATCTGTGACTCTTATCTGGAAGTAGAGCTGTGGCTTAAATGGTATAGCACCAGCCTTGAGCGAAAAAGCTAAGGGCCTGAGCCCTGAGTTCAAGCCCCAGTATAGGCACCAAAACAAAACAAAAAAGCTAGTTAAAAACAATAAAAAATTGAAAGCCAAGCACTGGTGGCTCACGCATGTAATCCTAGCTACTCAGGAGGCTGAGATATGAGGATCGCAGTGCAAAGCCAGCATAGGAAGGAAAGTCCAGGAGACTCTTATCTCCAATAAACTACTTAGAAAAAGCCATAAGCAGGGCTATTACTCAAGTGGTAGAGTGCTAGCCTTGAGCAAAGAAGCTCAGGGACAGTGTCCAGGCCCAGACTTCAAGCCTCAGGACGGGCCAAAAAATTAAAATAACTTCATTCTTTCAAAACACAAACTGTAACAATTTACCTTTTCTTACAATTAAGGTCTGTCATTTTTAAATACCACAATTCACTTTTCTTCATAATAAATAACTGCATATAAAAGGAGACACTGTCTAGAATTATTTTACAAACATTTTATACAGCGTTAAAAATACTCAAGTACTATCTTGTAAAGATATTAGAAAACTGCATTCATGTAGCACCTAGAATGTACGATCTGTGATATTTCAGTTGGTATAATGGTTGAGCAAAAAAGAATATGGTTTTCTTCTGTTTTTAAGTTACACAAATAGTAGATCCCTTTTATAAATCAAAGGTTAACAAATGTATGCACATCTTTCACCTTGTCTCCAATTTCTAGATCCAATGGAAAAAGATCCATGTGCAATAAATAATATAGTACATTCCTATCTGAATATAGTTTTTAGTTCACTTGTCTCAATATAATTTACACTTAAAATAACATTTTATCTGTAAGCAATATATTTCTCTAAAACAGTCTGTAACTCAGCTGGGCACCTATAATCCTAGCTACTCAGAGGCTGTGATCTGAAGATCACAGTTCAAAGCCAGCCTGGGGAGGAAAGTCTGTAAGACTCATTTCCAATGAGCCACCAAAAAACTGCAAGTGGAGGTGTAGCTCAAGTAGTAGAGAGCCAGTAGTTGAGTGGAAAAGCTAAGAGACAGTGTCCAGGGTCTTGAGTTCAAGTCCCAGTACCAGCAAACACAAACACAAAGAAATCTGTAACTCAGATTTCCATTCTCACCTTCTCTTTTCTCAAATCAGAGTGATACCTGTCTTTTTATTGTCTCAATGAAACTCTACTGAAAGTATTACAATAATGTAAAGGGAGATATAGTAAATACTAGCATAGTAGAAAATAAATGGTATTAAATACATATGGATCCTTGTTAAATGAGACAGTATAAAGAAAAAAAAAACACAAGCATGATGTTTATGCTCATCAACTCTGGAGAGTGCCATGGGTGCACATGCTCAGGTCAACTGATGTTTGCAGACATAACCAGCATTCAGCTTCCATATGAATTTGTTTGCTTAAGACACTACACAGCAACTTTGACCATTCAGTCTGAATGTGGTAATAACACATAACTATAGTTTTTCTTTCTGCTCTTGTTTTTTGAGGAAGGATCTTCTTAAGTAGCCTAGGCTGGCTTTAAGCTCTTGATTCTCCCACTTCAGCCTCTGAAGTATTGGGATGAAACGTGTGTACTACCACATACCTGACTTAATCAAGCCACAAATTCTAACACATTTTCTGTTACCCATTTGTTCCAAAACAGATGCTTGGGGGTAGGAAGCAGGAAGTTAAGGGGGTTTTATTTCTGGATTGTTGTTTGGTTGGAGATTTTGGATGTGTCATGTAATTCTCTGCCTCAGTGAAAAAGGATTCTTCACACTATTGACCAAAATTCTCATCTAGAAACGGGCCCCTGTGCATGCATCAGGTCTGATTTCTGTCCCCACTGCAGAACTGGCTGAAAGCCAGCCTCAGCCCGCACGCCCCATCCCTCCACCCAGACACAATCAGAACACAGGCACCCAGCACTAACACACTCAGAATTACTTTGGGGACAAATGGTATACTTCATTTTGTCAACTGTTCTGTAGTGAAGTGATCTCCTAAGATTGAGGCTACTCACTGGAACACTTGCTTTCTTCTTCTAGCAAGTTGATCTGCTAAAGTCATCTAAGGAAGAACATGGAAAAATAACCATATCCTCTAAGAAACAGGCACAGCATCTGTAATGGGAATTAAGGCTAAATAAATAGTGCTGGCTAGGGGTCACAGTAACATCACACAAGGGCCTCACTGTTGGTCCTGTAGGCCTGTTTGTGAAGGTGTCGCTCGATCTCCTCCCTAAACACCATCATCCCCAGGAGAGAGTGGGAGGCCTCATTCATGGCCTTGGACTGGATGCACATTCGGTATTGCTCAGGGGTCAGCTCATCCGCACAGTGCTTCTCATGCCACAGGTGGAAGAGGCCAGGCACTGGGGTTCGCAGCACGATGAGGTCGCCATGTAAGTATTTTCGATACAGATGAACATCTTCCCCACCCCAGCCTTTAACTTCCATGTCAAATCCACCTGCAGGACCAAAGGTGACACTGTGAGTAAAGACCCAACAGCCAGGGCACAGTTAGGTGCTGGAACGGTAATGGCCTGGTCCAGCACAGACACCCATATGAGAGGAGACCATGTGGCCATCTACTTTGGAAAGCCATCACCAGCTGATGGTTAAGACAGCTGATAGTTAAGACACTGGGAGCTCCAGGTAAGCTGCTGAGAGTACCAGAATGAGGTTAAGGATTCAAGAATACAGGGCTGGGAAAGTGGCTCAGTGGTAGAGGGTTTGCCTTGCATGCATAAGGCCCTGGTTCAATTCCTCAGTACCACATAAGCAGAAAAAGCCAGAAGTGGCACTGTGGCTCAAGTGGTAGAGCGTTAGCCTTGAGCTGAAGAGCTCAGGGATAGCACCCAGGCCCAGAGTTAAGGCCCCACAACCTAGCTACTCAGGAGGCTGTGACCTGAGGATCACAGTTTAAAATCTGCCCAGGTAAAAAAGTCCCTGTGAGACTTTTATCTCCAATTAACCATTCAAAAAACCTTTAGTGGCACTGTGGCTCAAGTGGTAGAGTGCCAGCCTTGAGCACAAAGAGGCTCAGGAACAATGCCCAGACCCTGAGTTCAAGCCCCACAACTGACCAGCGCCCCCTAACTCCCCAAAAACAAAATCCAACAAAACCAAAACCTCAAATACTACCTCTGAGCTAGGTATTGATGGCTCACAACTGTAATCCCAACTACTCAGGGGTCTGAGATCTGAGGATCAAGGTTCAAAGCCAGTGTGGGCAGTAAAGTCCATGAGACTCTGATCTCCAATTAACTGCCAAAAAGCTGGAAAATGGAGTTGTGACTCAAAGTGGAAGAGTACTAGTCTTGAGCACAAAAGCTCAGGGATAGTATCCAGGCCCTGAGTTCAAACCTCAGGGCTTTGAACTGGCACCAAAACCAAACAAAAAAACCCCAAACTACCCCAAACTAAAAAAGCTCAATTTTAACTGGGTCAGTGGATTCCAATAGCTGATAGTGACACCACCAGAGGCACAGAGGAGACAGAGAGGGCGCAGCAAAAGCCAGAGAAATCCAGGAAGCCTGTGCATTCCCTGAAAAGTGACATTCGGGCTTCATACTATTAGGAGTGAGAGTGGGGAGAGAAAGAACTTATCAAATAGTCCAATCAAGTCAATAAATAGATAAATAAACAAAAGAAAATCAGAGTAAGTCCAGGAAGTAGAGGGAACTCACCTTCTAGAGTTGTCTGTCACTATAAGTTTTCAAAAAAAAAAAAATAGGAAGGGCTGGGAAGGTGGCTCAGTGGTAGAGCACTTGCCTTGCATGCATGAGGCCCTAGGTTCGATTCCTCAGCACCACATAAACAAGAAGAAAAAAGCCGGAAGTGGTGCTGTGGCTCAAGTGGTAGAGCGCTAGCCTTGAGCTGAAGAGCTGAGGGGCAGCGCCCAGGCCCAGAGCTCAGGCCCCACGACCGGACCAAAAAAAATAAAAAATAAAAAATAAAAAATAAAAGTATTATATGGCCAGAATTAGTTTATAAATAAT